TGGAAAACCAATAGCTCAGTGTCCCAAAGCACTGTTTAACTAACAACGCCCAATACCCAATCAACACCGCCAATATCAACTAACAGCCAATATTGCCAATATTGTCTGATCACAAACGGAACACTCAATAGGTTCACAATAACGATCAACAGTCAAACGATAGGTAATTATGACCTCATTCATGTTTATTAAACGTTTACATTCACTGTAAATGTAGTTAGTACATAATGCATATTTTAATCAAATCAGCTGTTTGCTTAATCACATTGTTGTAGTGAACACATGTTCATCAAGTAAGCTGTGCCCATTTCACTGCCTTCTGGATGTTATTTCAGCGACAAAAAAAAACTCGCAACCGAAACCCAAAGCCAAATTTCAACGCGTATTTCGTACTTCTTTGTTCTGTTGTAAAAAGACAAAGCATATGGAAATGAACTTGTTTAAAACAAAACTAGAAAAAAAGAACAAAAACTCAAACACGTGTTAGATGACGTCATTCCGAGTTGTAGACCGTTGAGGTTCGTTAAACAGCTGACAACTGGCTGCGTTTGTTTTGACATTTTTCTCCTCGTAAGTTAGAAATATAACATTTTTTAATTAAATTTTGCCATTTTTTTTATTGAATTAGTATTGTTTATTTGTTGTTGTCATTGTGCGTCATGTTTTTGTCGGATCATGTACGAAGTTAATAAGTTAAAAGTTCGAAATTAAATATTAAATTATATTTCTAACTTTATTATAATTCACTTTTAATTTCCACTTTAACTGTCATTAATTTAATTTCATTTCCAAATATTACTAACGCCGTTCCTATTAACGAATTCCGCCTATGTGGACGATACATTGTTTTTATTTTGCTTTGCGGAATTCACATAACAATTTCAAACCAAACCACCCTTCAGCAAAATATGTCATTTTTACACTAAACCACCATTCGTGGGATTTTTTACCTAATATTTCCAATAACTGAAGTTTGCAAAATAATTAAGAAATAACAGTAGGCCTACAGTAGATTGTAATTCTGTGTACGGTCACATTTAGTTAATTACAACATTAAATTCATTTTTCAGTTATTTTTCTTATTATAAAGTCCTCCTGTTATAAAGAAAACACTTCTAAACCCAGAAATATTTAGGAAAGACCAATAAACTAAATTTATTAATAAACTCTCCCTCTATTAGAATTGAAAACCAAACAGCAAACTCACCCATCCACAACTCTATTCCAAGTCACATCAGGAAAAACAGGTGAATTACTCTCCCTTGCTACTTGAAAATACAACAGCTCTTAAATGAAAAGTGGATTTTATTTTTATAAACTCTAGACAGAGTTTTGTTTGATGGATTGTGCAGCCGTCTGCGAAATGGAAAGCCCATTAAGGGGGGATAGGGGGGGGAGGTGGATTGCAAAACAATGAAAATGAGCCTAGGGGTCCCCACAGGTAAGATTAGCCATGTTTTAAATACCCGGTCAAGTGTTTTAGCACGAAAGGTTCTCGTAACAGCCTACATTAAAACTTTTTTTCGCAGTGAATTCAGGTATTTCAATATTTCCAGTATACTGGTTGAGGAAACTGAAAATGTGACATTATTGTTAGTTTGAATTCCAAAGATACCGAAAACAACTATCGTATGTCCGTAAAAACTTGTATTTGCAGTAAACTTAGCATTTTCATCATACCTGAGATTTAAATGATTGCTGAAAATTATGTGCATTGTTGAAACAACTTAACAATTTACAAAAGTTGTATGGATATAACAATTTAGAAAATTATGAGTAAATTGTAAAAAATTAGAATGATTAAGTTGTGTTGATAATAAAAGTAATTTTCAAACCTTCCAACACATCCTGTATGTCTTTATAGTAAACACAGCAGTACACGTATTGAATTTACAAATTTGATAAAATTTAGAAAATATATATATTTGAACTAGTGTACATTTTGGCAAGAAATACAAATAAAGAAATTTGGTAGAAATATACCATTTTTACAAACGATATAATTAAATTAGCAACGTTCGGTGATTCAGCTATGTTAAAAGTAGAACCTCGATAACAAGACTCTAATATTGATTACTAAACAAGACTTGTTATCAAGGTTGACTTTTTATCGAGGTTCGCATTAACATGTTTTAAGGTAAAATAAATTCAAGGAGAATGAAATATGACCCTTGTTATCAAGGGTGACATGTTATCGAGGTTCCACTTAAATGTTACCTTAGCCTAACAGTCTTTCATCTGCATTGCATTTTTAACTACATTTATAATAATTTTGAGTATTTTTATAAATTCTCTTAAATTAAATACTCTCATTTATAAGAATTGAAGATGTATTTTTGCTAATCCGTTTAGGCTATAAAATAGGTCTTTTCCTCAACATTACTTGCAGCTGTTGCTTCAGAACTTTCCCCTTCAGAAAACTTGGTCCAACTTTCGTAAATAAAGAGAATAAACAAAAGTGGATAACACCGACTTGCCAAATTCAAACTCCAATGTAAACTTTGCCTCTCCTTTTTTCGGAATTTCCGCGACTTCTTTTGGAAAACACATGGAGTAAGGTTATTAACTAAAATGTCGTTAACATCCTTTGATAGTTCACATGCAATTATTTTTTCTTTAAATATATAGGTAGATTTTTAAAAACATTTGACATGATGAAAAAATGTTAAAAACTGAGTTAAACTATGTCGTTTTGTTTATTTTAAACATTTTATGTTTGGTTCAAAATGAGAAAAATAAGCACTGACATTATTTTATGAATGTACATTTTTCTTCAAGTTGTACCCAATTACAAAAGTAAAAAAAGCCTTAACTGCAAGCCTTAACTTCAATCGAGTCACCGACAAAAAGTGTCTATGTTAAATTGTTTTCTCTATCCAATAGGCCTACACATGTTAAGAATTACAAACCTAAATAGTAAGCTATTGTAAACTATAGCATTAGTTGTGCGTCCATGGCCTATTTTGTTATGAACATCTTTAATAAGAAAAGAACAACTTTATTTCTTGAAGGTGTAAGGAATTAATTTATCTTTGAACGAAGTCGTGTTACCTTGGTTTAATAGATACGGAATGTACTAAATTCATAGTAATCAAAATTAAAAGAGATTAAAATAATGTTACCTTAAAAGTCTCCAAAGAGAAATAATAAGGGTAGTAAACTAAATACAGTAGGCCTACTATTATTTTAAACAATTGAAAAATATTTTTGATATGTTCGGATCAGTGTTCGTCACTGATTCTGAATTTATTTTTTTGTGTGTAGTTTGTCCCACCCAGAATTGTGTTAAAACTTGTACACAATTTATTCATGTTCTAAGTGTTCATGTTTAGTTTCTTACTGCACCAACTTCTTTTATCAGCGTCTCAAACAGTACTTGCAGACCTACAAAATAGCAATTCTGAAAGTGCAGAATAGAAGGGGATTGAGTTTTCAAGTTCTGTCCTAACGGTTAAACTTTGTCCATTTTGTCTCCCTTTTCCCCATTTCCTTTCCCGTTTTCCACCAAATATATACCCGTGAAAACTCAAAGAAAATCCATTTTTGGGAACAGTTTAGCCGTACAAACTTCATGGTCTATTCCAATTCCTTCAAAGTTTGAAATCCATTGACATTTTTGGTAGTACATTTTTAAAGTATTGTTGTAAGTAGATTATGATTTAAGCTTCTCTTTTAAATATCTGAAATACATAACCCTTGTTATATTCGTGAATTAAGGTTCGTTTCATTAAACAAATAAATTATTACATTCTTACTGTATACAAAACTTGTTTCAGGTTTAGTTCAACCCCATTTTCATGTGTAAAATTTTAGAATATAACAAGATTTTTTTACAATTGCATTTGGCATAACAAGAAGTGTAATATGTAAAAACCATATAACTAAACAGTCAACCACTAACTGTAATGTTTGCTTACTCAGACGTTTTAAACCTTATTGATAATAAATTATAATTGTAATATTTTATTCACAATTAACACTAATATGTATGAAAACATTTGTTTGACGTGGGTGAAATTGCAGTTTTTGGTTGGATAGCAAGTTACGCATTATCACATTGAAATTGGTGATTGGTGAGATTTGATCCGGAGTTTCTAGTACACGATTCCCTCGTTACGGTATACCAACCACTTCACTGTAATGTATTACACACATTACATTACTAATATTGTTCATAACAACAATATGTAATGCAAAAATTCAGTCAGGTTAAGAATCACGTAGCGCCTTCGTTTTAAGCAACGCAATTCACAAACACTGCTGTACGCGAATTGCATCGTGTTTTCACTCGGCGCTAAGATGTTGCTCCTTGTTTCACCAAATTGCCATTGAGTTACAACTACAAAACGTTTCTTGAAGCAAGAGAGAATCCTGTTTTGTAAAATATATAACGCTTTCAAGTGTTGAAATTAGCTGAAGTTAGCTTTGCCTACTGTATTGTTTTAACCTCAAGTGTGATTTGTTTGGTATATATATTTGTACATAAATTTGTTGGTTTGTTTTGTTTGATTTTTAAAAAGTTTTACAAACGTTAAAACTCTAGTGTGTTGAAAATTATGTATGATATATTTAAGATAACTTTTCAACACTAGCTCAAGTTTAGCTGGAAATAAGCTTCAAAAGACACTCTTAAAATGTGTGTTAACTTCATAAAAAACTACTTAACTAGGAATAAATAAACAATTTCAATATTCAATAAAATATTAATTTATTGTTTGGAAAAGTTATCTCGAGTAAAAAACTGTACGTTGTACAACAAGAACATTGGAGTTGGATAAACAAATTTAAATCATGTGTTTCCATAAAACAAGTAATATTTAAACACATCTTATTTTATTTCTCTTATAAAATAAATCATCTGAAAGAAAACAATGTACATGTTCTCGTAAGAATAGACATATGGAGTAAACATTATGAAGACAAAGAAAATCCAGAGGAACTACTCCAAAAACAACTTATACTAAAATGAAAAGTGTGACATAGTTTTACCCTTTAGCTTACAAATGAAAACTTAGTGAAATGAAACACATTGTAAACAAATAAATACACTTTTCTTCGAATCCACACCATACAGTTTTCAGCCTCATAACTGTTATCTTGTATGAAACTATCTTGATATTTAATGATAAGTACAGAGGCATTTTTTTTCATTAATCTAACTTATATACTTTTACACATCATTAGAAGTTTCGACTGTACTTGACTGACAATAACCTAACCTATATTTAGTTAAAACAGCTTGAATCTCTTGTTGAGCACATATAGAGTCATGATCTGACAATTTCTTTAACGTTTTTGACACGTACTTGCAGAAAATGTCAACTTCGTCGGAATCATCGAGATTCGGCCGTGATGAAATTTCACTCGATCTGGCGTTTTCTTCACGTTTGATGACTGCGGTTTTTCGTTTTCGTCCTTTGGTCGAACTAGGCACAGAAGTGTTTTGTTGCAGTAGGGAAGCCTCTAAAGGCAATACAACCAGGTCCATCTCTTCTTGGTAGTTTTCATGAGGTTCACTTCTCAACTCGATCTCCTCGAAAGTGGTTTCACCATCCTAAAATCGAAAAATGTATGAATTTCATGTTTCAAGATTTTTTACACCAATCGAATTTTACGTGTTTTGCTAGGGAAAGTTCCAAACCCTGGTCTTTTACTAAACTCAAACTATTTGTTATCCAGCAGAATTAATTGTTAAAAAAAATAAACAAAATACAAAAAAAGATCTTTATCCAGAATAGATAATTAAATATGTATTAGTACAATTAATGTGTTTTAAAAGTATGAAAATTTACGAATAATTTATTTAACAATGCAAACTTACAAAATGTCCTTAGTTAAAAAAATGTTCAAAGATATTTTTAACTTGAGTTTTACTAGCGGTTTACAAAGAAAACTCATATCATGAAATTTTCTGACGGAGAACAGAGTTTAAAAAACTTTAATGACAAATTATTATTCTTTGACACATTTTTTATTAATTTTTTATAAACTGACAATATTGTATTTTAGCTGTCACCCTAACATTGTGTAAACGAAGGGGTTAGGTATGAGAATGGGTTGCTACAACTACAAAACATTTCCTTCATTCCTTCCTTCATCCTTCATTTAATCGCATTTTATGAGAAAGTAGCCGAAGCTGCAACCAGATGAACATTTTAGGAAAATTTAATATTTTAATTTTTCCTACAAATTTAGTCGGACACTGAAAGTAAATCTTTCCGTTCGTTTGTTTAAAGGGTAGACAGAACTAAATTGACGTGGATTTTAGAACTTAAAGGCGGTGACACACTATCGATCTTTTCCCCGATCAAGACCCCGAACCGAGCAGGGAGAAGGGAGAAGGGAGAAGGGAGATAAATATCAGCAAAATTTTACTCCGAACATTTCCCCGAACATGACCAAGACCAGACGAATTCTACCGAGCGCGGCAAAAGGAAGTTTGGAGAGAGATAGAAAGTGTGTGCGAGTGAGAGCGCGGAACTATCAATGCTAGCGCAGGCGGCCGCTCGGTGCGGCGCTCGCGACGATGTACGCACGGGGCAAAAATGTACCGTGACACACTATCGTACATCGGACCGTACATCGGACCGATCTTTTCTTTGATCTTTCGCCAAAAAACCGCCTCCAGAGCGCTCGTCTCCCTGCTCGGCCTGATGTCTTGTTCGGCGTCTTGATCGGTGTACGGACCCGTGACACACTATCGAACATCCTCCCTTCGACCTCCCTTCTCCCTGCTCGGTTCGGGGTCTTGTTCGGGGAAAAGATCGATAGTGTGTCACCGTCTTAAATAAGACAAGGGCCAGAGTAAAAATCTCAAAATAAAGGCGGTGACACACTATCGATCTTTTCCCCGATCAAGACCCCGAACCGAGCAGGGAGAAGGGAGAAGGGAGATAAATATCAGCAAAATTTTACTCCGAACATTTCCCCGAACATGACCTAGACCAGACGAATTCTACCGAGCGCTGCAAAAGGAAGTTTGGAGAGAGATAGAGAGTGTGTGCGAGTGAGAGCGCGGAACTATCAATGCTAGCGCAGGCGGCCGCTCGGTGCGGCGCTCGCGACGATGTACGGGGCAAAAATGTACCGTGACACACTATCGTACATCGGACCGTACATCGGACCGATCTTTTCTTTGATCTTTCGCCAAAAAACCGCCTCCAGAGCGCTCGTCTCCCTGCTCGGCCTGATGTCTTGTTCGGCGTCTTGATCGGTGTACGGACCCGTGACACACTATCGAACATCCTCCCTTCGACCTCCCTTCTCCCTTCTCCCTGCTCGGTTCGGGGTCTTGTTCGGGGAAAAGATCGATAGTGTGTCACCGTCTTAAGACGGTGACACACTATCGATCTTTTCCCCGAACAAGACCCCGAACCGAGCAGGGAGAAGGGAGAAGGGAGATAAATATCAGCAAAATTTTACTCCGAACATTTCCCCGAACATGACCAAGACCAGACGAATTCTACCGAGCGCGGCAAAAGGAAGTTTGGAGAGAGATAGAGAGTGTGTGCGAGTGAGAGCGCGGAACTATCAATGCTAGCGCAGGCGGCCGCTCGGTGCGGCGCTCGCGACGATGTACGGGGCAAAAATGTACCGTGACACACTATCGTACATCGGACCGTACATCGGACCGATCTTTTCTTTGATCTTTCGCCAAAAAACCGCCTTTAGAGCGCTCGTCTCCCTGCTCGGCCTGATGTCTTGTTCGGCGTCTTGATCGGTGTACGGACCCGTGACACACTATCGAACATCCTCCCTTCGACCTCCCTTCTCCCTTCTCCCTGCTCGGTTCGGGGTCTTGTTCGGGGAAAAGATCGATAGTGTGTCACCGTCTTTAAGGAAAACGTCGTTTCCCCTTAAAATATTTGTACCAGTTAAAAAAAGTTATGACACTTTTATTTTTAAAGTTTGATAATTTAAAGTATCTAAATTGAGAAATAGTTCAACTGTAAAGTTCTCAAATGACCAAACCTTATCTTAAAATAACAAAACTTTCATTTCCCTTTTGTTGTGTCGTAAGTTTTTCTCAATTTCATATTACTGTTATTTCGTCAGTTTGATAGTTTAATGTGTCAATAAAATAAAATATGACGTAAACCTAACAAGAAGGTGCTTTAGGTTCTGTATTCATTGGTAAAACAAGACAATAGGAAAGGTAGAGTGACTGTAGACATAATACATCATATGGAACGCCGTAAGGAAACGAGTCCAACTCTCTTGGATTTTCCAAAGCTTTTAACTATTTTAATCATGACTGGCATAAATTACAGGCCATGAGGTTTTCCTAGAAAGTACATAAATGGTTGAGATCTTATCTGTAAGATAGGCGGCAATGTGTGGAGGTTGGTGACACAAGATCGGACTGGGTGACTGTAATGTGCGGCATGCCTCAAGGATCAATCCTTGGACCTCTGCTCTTTTCACGCCAATGACATAAACTCGACCTTAGTCAATTGTAAACATGCACACTGACTGCTTACAAATATATGACCATTTTACTGAAGTCTCCTTTTATTTCTTCTTTGTCAGTCAGGTTGAGTTTAAGAAAGGAACTTTGCAGTTGATAAAGGTAATAGTTAGTAAAAGCAAATATAATTGTATGATAAATAATGGTTTTTAAAACAGTTTCGAGCTCGTTTTTTGTGCAGTGCGCTGTGTTTTATGGTTATGTATTGGTGATCTCATCAGTCAGTTTGATAAAATATATACAAGGAATTAAATTTAAAGTGGTTAAACTTATTGATGTTTGTCACTGTGTACAAGCAGTGTGAGTTCACTCGGATTGTGTACGCTCTAGTCAGCTTAGTGTCCGATGATTGGCGAGTAAAGTCTCCAGTGGAGAGTAGAGTTAACTTTTTAAAATACAGACAGCGAGTGCGGCGAGTGAACTTGGCAGGTTCAAAAGCTGCGTGTGAAAAGCCGGCCGGCTTGTAGTCTTAATTTATACAGAATAAATATCCGACATAGATAAATTTGTTTCTATCCAACATTCTGAGTTAGCATTTATTTTAAAATATATATTGAACCCATTAACATATGTCAAACTAACAAAAGCCTCGTCTTCCACATTTATGCAGCGACCTGTTTTGAGGTTATGTATGCCGTATAAGTAAACTCTATAGTTTGATAATTCAAAAAGTAGACTACATGGAACTAAATTAGCAAATAAACTTAGACCAGCATGCCAGATCATATTAAATTTTTAGATTAAGTAAAGAAAGTTACTTACTATGTTTTGTTTTCTCCCCTATACCACATGGAGAATGTAAGATGCAATGTTTCCGCCAAAATTCTTGAATTTGAGTTTTTAATGGATATATCCGTTTGTGTCCCCCTGAACCCCAAAAAAGTGGTTATCGAAGTGATATCCGTGTGTGTGTCTGTGTGTGAATGTTTACAGAGCTGTAGTCCGATTTTGATGAAATTTGGTATGTAGGTACTAAGCTAATCTATCCTATAAAATATCATAGCTACTCACACCGCTTGGGACCCATGATAAAGGTTGTTGACAGCTTATGAGAGAGAGTATACTGTGCTAGATTGCTGATACCGTTTATTTTACTGTGTGAAACCTTCAATATCCAAAGTCAATGGTGAGTGAAACCAATGTGTAATGTATGCTATGCAATTAGTTCGCAATAATAAAATAAAGTACTGAGATACTTGACCGAATCAACTCTTCTTTATATCTTTGAAATTGACCTGAGAAGGCCAGAATGTTCTGTCATCTTACCTTTTTTTAAAACAATCAAGAAGCGACGTGCTTAGAACAACGTAACTAAAAAGTATATTTCATCTTAGTTTGTACCATTTATACAGTCTTACTATATCATACTATAAATATAGCACAACAAACTGTATTATGAATTAATGTCTGTAGTGCATACTAAAATTTACTCACCAGATAAGTAGAATCCAGTGTTCCACTCGCTACAAATTTCATGATCGAATCAAGGAGAGGAAACCACTTCACTGACGGCACATACTCCTTCCCAGTCGTTGCAGACTGTTTGATTTTCGCCACTTCTTGATGATAGGTCGACCTAATGTTTTTGATCTTTTGCCTGACTTCGGTAACTCCGAAACCATTTTTCCCCATTTCACTTGCAATGTTTTCCATAGCGGTGTGCCTCGAGGTTTTGTCCTTATAGTTCGGATTTGCTGGATTCCACAAAACTTCGTTGTCCTTGTAAAGTTTTACAAACTTGTATGTGTCTTGCTCACCCCACTTCATTGCTGACAGGAGTAATAACACTACAATTCACTAAAACACTAGTAAAACTGTGAACTGAAACAACGTGACAACTAGTAAACAATAGTACCGGTGGCAGACGACGATATTCACTGATTATGATAGGCGAGTGTAAGAACTGTGACGAGTAAAATAGCCGACTCGACTGGCTGGCCCAGTGCAACTACCTCACCAGTCGCCACACCACAACTCAACTCCCCTCCGAATCGACTCGCCCGTTTGTTCAGTGCTAGTGTAATGGCGTCGCCTCACTGCTCACCCGTCTCGTCGCCGTTATAGCTTGCCATTCGAAAACTCGACCCTTTTTTTGCGGACAGTCAAGCGTCAAGCGTTTCCCGGCTGTTCAAATATCGAAACTATTTATTTATGCAAAGGCATCGGGATTAATATTATCCATTTTCACGATGCTATTTGGCCAAGTGAAATTATATCGAGGAATTAGTTGGTAAAGAAATTGTCATATTCAATAATATGATAAAATAGTATTCAGAATCAAAATTTTCGACTTAAATATTGTGAAAAATTTACTGTGATGAAACTGATACAACAGGAGGTAACACTGACATGGCCACTGTGCTAGCAAATCGAGACGCTGTAATACAGTAATGTTATGTTGTTACATGTACTGTACAATTCCTCAGTTTTAATTTAATTAGTACGGTGTACTTTAGCCCCATATTACCTAATAGTGGTGGCCAAAGTCTCGAAATTTCATTCAATTTTAGCGAATTTCCCTATGGGGAGGAGCTATTACCGTAGGTGGCACGGTAAGACTTAGGCCCGACACCAATTTACTTTTTCATTTTGATGTGATTGGAACATGGGGACGGGGTTTTACGAGGGGTTATATGGGATAAAAATGGGTTTTCTAATTTTTGACCCTCAAAACACAAAATTTCCCAATTTCTCTCTAGACCTTTTTAAAGAGCTTAAAAAACACAAATAATTTAGTACATCAAAGTGTTTTTGTACGGTTATTAGTGACAGAAAAATTCAAAAATTGAAATTTTAAAATTCCTATGTTATTCTTATGGAAAATATTGTAAAATGTTGTAGTTTGCTTGCTTAAGGATATATATTTTGATAAAAATTGGCAAATTTATTTATTTTTCATTAAGCTATTAATATTTTGCTAAAAACCCCACAATAGTTTCCTTGTAGCAGCAAACCACCTCAACGTTTAACCATTACGTTTAACGAGTTAAACGTAATGTTATAGATTCAATTAAAAATCAATTCAGACAATGGAAATTTGCTTAGTCTGCTGGTTTACTGCTGCGGGGTATTGTAAATGTTTTTATTCCTAATTAAGTTATGATGTATAAAAGTGATACTCCCTGGTATAAATTAACGTCTGTACCAGTGTCTACTACGACTATACGCAGTACTAGCCTGATAATTAGACCAATTCGTTGTTCACAAGGAAAAATGTGGTACGGATTCCACTATACTGTACACTGTAGGTCCGTTGCCATTGGCTGTATGTGCTATTAATTAACAGCTGTGTCTAAGTAACACGGCGGCCTTAGAACAAGACTACGAGATCGCGCCACTCATCCTACACTCATATTAGGATTAAACACGCACATGGTGGCGTCCCCATCTTACTTTGTGGTTGAAACCCTTAAATTGACTTAAAAACCTTATATTTTGCCTTAAAAACCACAGCAAAATCGTTATATGCCTACTGATGTTGTTACAGGTTTACACTGACTGGGCCAATCACTATCTGGACAAGGCTCGCTGCAAGAAGCTCATATCTGACCTCCAGCAAGACATGAGGGACGGCGTGATACTAGCGGACCTCGTCGAGGCAGTCAGTGAGTATCACTAGTATTGCTAGTATTATTCCTGTAGTATCGTTAAATGACCCTGGAGTATTAGTAGTGTCCAAAGACACACATCTGTAAGACTTTGTCCTAAAATACCGTCCAGAAGCGTATCTTCATTATCTAGAGTGCTACGGCTTACTGTATGATCCTCTCAGGGAGCGAGCTGGTAGAGAGTGGGACTTCGGTTCCTGAGTTCTCGGGTTCAAATCACACCAAATCACCAATGGATTTTATAGAAGTGATAATGTAGCAACCTTTAGATCTAGCCTGAAGTAATGTGAAAAATTATTCCGGGCCAGTGCCTAGTCCTAAGGGGGAAAAACTAATTAACATGCCCCTCGATTATCAATATATTTAACCTCCTCTAAAAATATCTTCTATATTTTTTTTTATTGCACAATTAATAGAATTCCTTAGTAAAACCAGAGTACCTATCGCTGAAATCTCCACCAGAGTATTATTGATATTGTTTTTCTAGTGCCACTAGGATGTCCGTTATGTTACTAACACCCCTTATAAGAGTATAATGTTCGTGATCATTGGGCTTTTAATAAATGGTCCTAAGCTAGGCTAATCCATTCTACACTCATACTTATCTCTAACACACCAAAGCGTGCGTTGCTTCTTTGAAGAATCGAATTGAAATGAATATACCTACAATCTAACTTTAGTATTTTTAGTATTTTGTTTTTAGTATTGTCTCCTTAGTACCGCCACCATCTGATAAGTAGCATCACCAAATTTACCAAATTTATTTTGAAATTAGGTACCTATTCGTATTATCTAGTTTCTAGAGTAGCACAAAAATCTCTTCTAAATGTACAACAAACTTTCTATGTGGAGTATCATACAAATTCTCCAGATTAATATTAGATTTATCTCTAGAGTACTACTAAAATGTCATTAGGATCACTAAAATCCCTAGGCAGAATATCACTAAATATATCCTCTAAATTATTGTAGTATGTCACTAACATCTCTTGAGTTTATCACAATCCTCTGATCTAGACTAGAGTTCAGAGTTTATATGAAATCGTTTGTAGAATACCTCTGATCTTGTATGAAATCTCGCATATTTACGTCATTTTCCCCTAAATATTTATACATTTTACGTCGACAAAGCGTACACCAAGTCGTCGGTTGAACGTGAGTACAAAATCAAAATCGTCTTTAGACACATCAAAGGAATAAGGGTGTCTGATCAAATATAGGAGAAAAGCGGACGAGGGGAATGCCAACTTGGCAATTTCATCTTCCAATCGGCCTTAAAATATCTCTCCGCTGAAATTGAGACGATATCGGAGTGAGCTTCACCGAACAAATCCGTCCGAATTCTTTTTGAACGTAATCTTTCAGAGTGAAATTTTATCACTTGAAATCAAAAGTTTCAAGTTTTATGAACTCAATTTTGCACTAATTACTGGCAGAGTTTAATGGACACCCTTTTAATCTTTTGGGAGAGTGCAAATTAACACGGAACCAAAACCAGTCTTTGATATCCACATTACTCTCGCGTTGAAACGAGATCCTTTTAGCCGCCCACTTTTCAACAAACTTTGCAAACTTCAAAGAACCAATTTGGGGTTGGAACTTTCTGCTTTTGTTTAGTTTTCACCTCTGAGTCTTTGGTTTGGTTTTTCCGACTGGCTTGTAGCTTTTGTACGTTTTTTAGCACTTCAAACATTGAATTTTAGTTATCTTTTGGTTTATGTAAATCCTAATCATTATGTTATCAGATGTAGCTTCATTCCGTTGGTATTGGGTGATTTTTATGTAATTTTTTTAAAATAATGATTCCACTACTATACTGGTAATCTATTTCTTGTTTTGTGGCAGTTTTGACATGGCACAAGACTATACAACATTGCTGGTCATGATTATGAAAAACTCTTAAACTTCTTATCAAAAACTGTATACCATTTCCTAGAAAAACAGTAAATCAGTAGATAAATTTTAGTCTAGTTGCTTAAGATATCCATAAAACTCAATAGTAGTAGTTTTTTAACTTGTTCACAAATTAATTCTGTAAACTTTTCCTCATTAGACAAGCCTTAAATTTATCATGAGTTAATAGTATAATGAATGTTGAACGATTCAATTGACTAATCAATCATTTCTTTAAACTAAATATGCTCTAAGTGCGTTTTTTAACAGAATATGAATGCATGATGAGTAAGAAATGAAGTGAGTGAAACGGTAAAACGTGGTTAAATTGTGTATCTTTAAGCACTGACCATGGTGAAGTGGGACTCGCTCAAATTTTTCAAAAGCTTTCGACTTTTCTTATGATTGAATCAACGACATACTGATATTAGACGTACTCTAACCATTCATTTACCCGCGTAGATAGTTTCTAATCAGGTTAATGGTTGCATAAAAGCCGCGTTTACACCGGAGTTTCAAACAAAAAGTTGCAAACTTTTATTGCAAACACCAGTTGCAAACAGTAGTTTCAAATAAAAGTTTGCAATTTTTATTTCATGGTTTTGTTTCCATGTTTCATGAAAATGTTTGAAATAATTTCGACCTTGATTGAAATATCATTGATTGATAAAAAAAACTCCCACTTGGTTTTCCCATCGTCGGCCCCCGATCCAGACTTATTGCCCTTTTTAGATTCTCTGTTAAATTGAATTATGAGGTTCCTCATCCTATTTTGGACCTCTGCCTTGCTTAAGTTAATTTCCCGTGAAATGTCATTCCACGCATAGTTTTTCTTGTTTTTGTTTTTATAGTCAGAAATAGTTTGATTCCAAAGCACTTCATGTTCTCTATAAAAGCTAATTAACTTAATAATATTTTAATCTCTTCACTCCATCTCACTCAGTAGATCATCACTCACAACACGCACGATACGAGATAAGTCACAACAATAACGAGGTAGCCGTCCAGACAGGGTACTGAGTCGAGATACAGGGTGGTGCGAGTGATCACGTGAGTGAGACAGGAGGTGGTAGCGTAGGGGATGGCGGAGAAATGTTTCTGTTTTGTGTTTCATCGGCTCATAGTGACCGAAACTAGTGTTGCAAACAAAGAGTTTGCAACTCCCTTTGATCTTTACCGACTTCAAGTGGAAACAAAAATTTCTGTTGCAAACACCGAAAAACTGTTTGCAACAGCGAAAAGTTTCGTCTGAAAATGGGCGTTTTTAGAGATGTTTGCAATTTCTGTTTGCAACTCGTGTTTCAAACTCCGGTGTAAACGCGGCTTAACCTTTATGTTCTTGCCTTGAAAATCCTGTATGGTTCGATATTTGGATCGATATCCGTATTCGGATAAGTG